AAATTTTTTTATTTATGTCACTCTTCTCACTGGCATTTTTTTGAAAAAATATAATTATTTTGTATTTTAAAATTTAAAAATGTGTTACTATAAATTGGGTTTACTAATATTATTTTAGGTGAATTAATAAGTATTTTAAAATGTTAAATTTATAAATATTAATAAACGTAACCGACAGAGACAAAAGCTTTTTGAGATACTCAAGTGCAAAAAAGTCTTGAGAAAGATTGAGAGCCCAGGCCAAGGATTGACACAAGCTGTCCTGATGCAGGAAGGCCACAAGGGGGCAGCACGCACTCTGGGAATCTTCCCCCATCTCCCTATCCATCACAACCTCCCACTTCCTCCTTCTCTGTGTTCTCCTATGCCGCACTACTTCCTAATTACAGGAAATAATCTCTAAGCATCAAAATCCAGGCAGTCACATGTTAATCTGCAAACGTTTTTCAGATGTCCTCATAGGCAAACTTACCATCCAGGGCTGAGTAAGCACAAGAACCCCCACGCTCAAGGAGAGGATAATCCAAGACTGACCCAAAGGCCGGCAATTAAAATGCCAACATGGTAAAGCATGTGAGAGCCCTTCGTTGTCTACACAGGGTCTCCCTATACTTCCAAGGGATTCCCGAGAGACAGAAGGAGCCAACAACAGACACTGAGATAGTCGCCAGAAACTTCTGGAAGGATCTGGAACCTCGGGGACATCATGAGGACAAAAACTAGGTTCCGTAAGATATAGGGCAGCAAGGAGGAAGGCAGGGGCTGCAGGAAGAGTCAGCAGGTTGAGTGCAGCTGGAAGGGGCTGGGCCCCAGGCTCCACTGCCCTGTGGGGAGGGGGACCTGCCTTCCACTGCTGGGGAGCAGCAGGTGAGCCCCCAGGCCTACAGCATTCATGGGGCCCACCAACGTCTCATGGAAACCTGCCATCAACGCTAGACAATACCCGAAGGCCAGCCGACCCTCCTCCACACGGAGTGGGCAAGAAAACAGAAGCCCCGACATGGAAATAGCTTCCAGACCCCACCCGGCAAGTCGGGCAGAGTTAGGACTAGAAGCCAGCTTCCAGGCCCTCAGTCCACTGTGAGCTTTCAGCCAGCTTCCCTCCCATAGACTAGAGGCAGAGCCTGAGAAAGGTCCACATTACACCCCCCTTGTAACACCTGCTATAACATGGACAACTCAGAAGGGGCAAAACTTCCTGAAAGACAACAGCAGGGGCTGGGGAGAGGAAGGGGTGTGGGGAGGGGAAGGGGTGCAATGGTTGGGGTGGGGTTACAGCAGCTTTGCCTTCTCACTTGTGCACTGATTTGTTCCTAACACAGCCAAGGAAGCCATACCTTTTCTCCCAGTGGTAGCCTCAAGAGTCACTGTCCAGAACCAGGAATATTGCCCCAATTTATGCCCTAGCAGGGGGCTCTGCGTTTCCCCTCTTCTTACCACCCCTAATTCCAACCTCTGGCCTGGGACTGCAGCGAGAAGGCCAGGCAGGGGTGGGGTGGGGCACTTGTTGATGGCGCCAACAGCAGCTTGCCTGGGTCAGGACCTCCATGGCTCAGCCCTGGCCTCCCTCTGGCCTTCAGACACGAGGGAACCCACTGCCCACAGGGGATCCTGTCTATTTGAAAGCCCTACCCAGCTGCTCCCTGCCGCCAGCTGCTGCTCCTGTTCTCCCCGCCCACCCTCACTTTCCTTTCATCCAGAATCAACACTGTATGGTCACAGGCCGTGGCACTGCAGAGTCACAGGGCAACGGAGGACTGTTCTTTCACGCTCCCTCCTTTCTTCCTGCGGTCGTGTGCTCCTGCATTTATTCATTCAACAAACATTCATCCAGTGCCCACCCCGCCGGGCCCTGCCCTGGGACTGCAGCGGTGAGCCAGGCAACAGAGCAGGGATGACGAGGGCCCTGAGGCCCAGCGGAGGTTACACGCCGCCCGCCTGCATCATGCTCTGTCCGCCAAACACCATGCTTCCTTGTCCATGTCCTGTTTCCCTTTAAAACCAGTTGACAAATTTTATAAGCAGGAGTTTTCACATAGAATGCCCATTTCCTGGACCTTCGGTGGGCCCAGCAACACCTGTTCCCATTTCCCAGGAGGCCACCGTGGCCTGAGGCTGTGGACCAGCTGTCCTTGGTTAGGAAGGCTCTTACTCAAGGCAGTCTCCACCCCGCCCTAGTGTCAGTTGCCACAGCTGCCCTGCAGGTGGTGCTGTTGATGTTCTAGGGGCCCAGCCAGCCTCACCAGCTTCCTCTGGGTACCTTGTTCCTGCAAGCTGTCTGAGAGCCTCGGTCAAGGGTGAAATGTGCTTCAATAGGGACAGCAGAGGGCGCTGTGGGCGCACAGAAGAGAGGAGCCCAGGTACCTGCTGGGATTGCCAGAAACAAGATTTCCTAACAGCCTGAGGAGGGAAGGTTCCTTGCTGCAGTGTGCACTTCCTCCAACAGCTCAAACAATAGAGGGCCAGCCCCATTAGGGAGATCCCCGGAAATTTCCAGACGTACTCCTGAGCCAGACTTGCACTGTTCACTCATTCACAGATGATTAACACATCCATTCAAGCATGCATTCAGCAAACATTGATTACATACTTGCTGTGTGCTTGGCACTGTGCCATGCCCCGACCTTAGCTCTCGTCCTGTAATGATCTTTTCTTTACTGTTAAGGAAAATGAACCAGAGAGGCTAAGTGAATTGTCTTGGGGCCACACAGCCGTTCTGAACTCTAAACAACTATTCCATGTGCCATGTCAGCAGTGCAAGACAGAACATGCTCAGGGCTAGGGCGGGCAGGACACGGGATCTCTCCGGCTTTCAGAGGGCAGTGTGGCCAGGAGGGGCCTGGCAGTGAGGGGAGGCTTCAGGAGAACACGACAAAACGAGACTCCTGGAAGTGGACGAGGGGAACCTACCTTCCCCGATGAAAGGGGAGAGGCTGGAAGGTCCTTAGAGTGGGTTCTCCAGACATACTTCCTGGGTCGAGGGGGAGGGGTGCCAGTAAGGACATGATCCTTCAGCAAATGTGAGGTCTCCCTGAGCCAAGCCCTGGAGGACATAAACATGAATGCGGGTTCCCCTGAGGATCTGCAGGCAGTGATCAGACAAGGTCAGAATTTGCAAATACCTTCACTCCAGGAAAGGAAGTGCTGAGAGCCAGGAGTGGGGCGGGGGAGTGATTGGCTCAGCAAAGAGACTGTTTCCCATTGGGAGGAACAGAGCAGCTTCCCGGACCAGGTAGCCTTGAACTGAGCCCTGCTGGGTGGGCAGGACTGAAACGGATGTCAACTGAGTCCAGTGTCCGAGCTACCTGTCACCACCCAGCCAAAGAGCTGGGGATCGAAGTACAGGTCCACGTTTAATAATATCAGTGCCAGATATCTGGGAAGGTGACTGGTAAAAACCCTAACATCCACCTTCTCCGTAAGCTTCTTAGGGGAAAGCTTATATAGGGAGGTTGGGGGAAGGGAATGTGGACGGAGAACGTGGAGTACAGGGGTTCTGGTGATTTGCAGTCTTGGAATTTGAGTCCCTGCCGGGTCTTGGGTCTTGATGAATGTCTTCATTATGGTTCCCAGATCAGGATGGTCAGAGTTCTGAAACAGGGCAAGTGGGGATCCGGTGTGGATCACCCTGTGTTTCTTTTTCGTGTTTTAAAATATATTTTTATTGATTTCAGAGAGGAAGAGAGAGGGAGAGAGAGATAGAAACATCAATGATGAGAGAGAATCATTGATCAACTGCCTCCTCTACGCCCCCTACTAGGATCGAGCCCAATACCCAGGCATGTGCCCTGACTGGGAATCGCACTGGTAACCTCCTGGTTCATAGGTCAACGCTCAACCACTGGGCCACGCCAACTGGGCTACCCTGGTGTTTCTGAAACCTAACTGATGAGCGTCCACATTTCTGGTGGCCGGGCGTGTGAGTTCGGGGCTGGGTTAAAAGTCTCTGTTTTGGTCTGGCAACTGACAATTGCAACAAAATCTTCACCAGAACATAAGGTTAAGCATAGACAGTTGATTAATCAATTATACGGTCTGTGAGTAAAAGTGTGGGAAAGAGAGAGGAAGAGAAGAGGAGGAAAAAATAACAATCATGTTTAACCTATCCTTGTACCCCTATCAGGACTGCACCCCATCATGGGGGGAGGGCACACCTGGGGTGAGAGCACCGAAGACAAGGGCCTGGGGGTGCTCGTGGAGCAGAGGCTGATCAGGCCAGGCAGGGCCGTTCTTCCCTGGGAGAGGGGGAGCTACGGGAGGTTTGCAGCCTTGCAGCTGGAGCGGGCAGGCTTGCCCAAGAGGCTACATCAAAACAGTTGTCCTGATGCTATAAACTCTTGAGGGTGTGGCTCTCACATTGGGAGCAGGATTTACATGAATAATGCTGACGGCCTATGCCCCAAGGAGCTGTCACTTAGACTACAAGAGGGAGGTGTAATCCGATTTCCCTTAACCCGGAACCTGGGTGTCTGAGCCCAATTCCTGCTCTGTCACCAACCAACTATGTGGCCTTGCTCTGACAGCTTCTTCATTTGCAAGACCAGGAGGTTGACCCCCTACCCTACACCACCCCCTACCCTTCTGACCCCGATTCACCCCCTGTGAATCTAAGACCTCCACTCCAGCCCCTCACAGACCCAAGAAGGGGAAGGCTCAGCCATCCTGTTGGGCTGCCCAATTTGGGGAGGCAGAGTGAGTCCGCCCCCACCCAGGGGTCCTCAGCCCACCACCAGCCTCCGGCTATCAGGTGGGAAGGTGGTCCCTCAACAAGAGGGGGTTGGGGTCAGAGGGAAGGAGGGGTGCCAGAGGAGAGGCAGCTTGCTCAGGGAGGGCAGGGGTGGGGTGAAGGGGAAGTGAACTAACCAAGCAACTTCCTCCCCAACCAGCTCCAGGCCCAGGACTGGGAAATGCACAAAAGTACAGAAAGATCTGTGTGGACATTTCCTGTTCCACCCTAGTCCCCCTTCCTGGCCGCCCAGGTCTGGGTTACCACACTGCTCACCTGTGAAGCAATCTTCCCACTAGAGGGCTGAGTGTTCTGGCCAGGAGAGGCCTATAAATGCTGGGCCCACAAGACGCTGTCAAACCTCTCTGCGTGACTCTTCAGCTTAGGTAAGTGAGCTGCCAACTTCCCTGGGTAGCAGCCTGCCTGCGAGTCTTTCTTTATACCCGCTACCCATCTGCCTTTCCACCCCTCCTCCGGGAAGCCCTCCTTGACTAACCTGCTCACTTTAAAGCTTTCTTCTCATTTTGTTGGAGCCTCCTGCTCTCAAATCCTCTGCTTTTTTACATTCTCCAGATATTCTAAAAGTTATTTCTCCCATGTCTGGGTCAGAGTCCTTTCCCAGTTCAATGCCCCTTTCTTTTTCTTCTGTGTCTGC